CTGCAAGGGAGGGTAGTTAGGAGGGACCAGGTCTGCAGGGGAGGGCAGTTGTGGGCAATCAGGCATAACAGGGGAGGGCAGTTAAGGGGTGACAAAGCTGGCAGAGGAGGGCAGTTGGGGGGACCAGGCCTGCAGGGGAGGGCAGTTGGGGGGACCAGGCAAGCAGGGGAAGGCAGTTGGGGGAGGACCAGGTCGCCAGGGGACAACGTTGGAGGGAACAGGCCTATAGGGGAGGGCAGTTAGGGGAGACCAGGCCAGCAGGGGAGGGCAGTTGGGGGTGACCAGGCTTGCAGGGGAGGATAGTTAGGGGCGACGACTAGCAGGGGAGGACAGTTAGGGGTGACTAGGCCAGCATAGAAGGGCAGTTGGGGGATACCATGCCAGCAGTGCAGGGCAGTTGTGGGGAGACCAGGTCTGCAGGGGAGGAGAGTGGTGGGGGGACCAGGCTGGCAGCAAAGGGCAAATGGGTGGGAACCAGGCCTGCAGGGGAGGGCAGTTAGGGGAGATCAGGTCAGCAGGGGAGGGCCGTTGTGGGGGGACCAGGCCTGCAGGGGAAAACAGGGGTGACCAGACTGGCAGGAGAGGGCAGTTAGGGGTGACCAGGTCGACAGAGGAGGGCAGTTAGGGGCAATTGGCCTGGCCAGGGAGCAGTTAGGCGTCAATCAGGCTGGCCGTGGAGGGGTTAGGGGGTGATCAGACTGGCAGGCAGAGGCAGGTGAGCAGTTGGGAGCCAGTAATACTGGATTGTGAGAGGGATGTCATTCTGCCGGTTTAGACCTGACCCCACAGGGGTATGATGTCACAGGCATAGGCAGAGCCCTGTAAATTTCTCCACCCTATGGAGTTTTTTTGTTTGTTTGTTTGTTTTTTGCAAAACCTGCCCTTGGAAGTCTCAAAAGAGATAAGAAAAGCCGGAAATAAGTTCTTTTGTTCTTTGAAATTTACTACTTTGTTGCAAATAGTTAACTTGAAAAGACTTTTTTCTTGCCTTTTTACAAGCAATCTTGGAACCTAAGTGGCCTTTGTTTTAACTCTAGGCTACACACCTTACAAAGGTATAAATTTCTTATCTCTTTTGGCAGATGGAGACTTCTAAGGCAAGATTTGCAAAAAAACAAACAAACAAAAAAAACCTTTAATACTCTGGTTTCTCTTCAGATCGCATAAATCTTTCGCCTTTTACAAATTTATACTTTTAAATCTGCCCCAGAATTTTAAAGTTTCAACCTAATACAGTAAAATCACAAATCAGAGAAGAGCAAATGATAGACATTTTTATTAGCTAAGTAGGCTAATTTCCTCTATCATAGAGAGCAAAAATCTCTGAAAAAAATAAATCTCAGCAGCACTGCTTAAGACCTTTGCAGATTATCATGGCATTCAGCCTTTAATAAATCAAACGTTTTTGGCCAGACGAATCAACACAAGTGCAGGATAAATCAAAGTAGCTTTCACTTTTCCGGGGGCTCTCACACTTGTTTTTATAGACCAGTCAGTGAACAGATAATTATGCAAATTCAGACAAACATCTATACTCACACAATTTCAGTAGACTAACCTGAATGGGAGCTAAGCAGATAACTGAAACACTGCCCAACTCCCCAAGTGGATTTGGGGTACTCCTGGTAGCCATGCCCCAGAACAAAATTCTTGACCAACATCTCGGTGAGAACCTACTGGAAGAGTTAAGACTGCATCCAGTCCTTATTCTGGGTAGCAAAATGGCTAGTCCCAAGCAAACAAACAGCAAAGTGAACTCAAAATTCTTTAATCGAATTTGAATTCCCTTACCTCTGAAGGTTTTTTCCTGGTGATTCCAAAAGAATACAGGGGCATGTCAGGTGTCCTTTGTCTGGCTCAGAGAAGCATCTCTGTGGCCCCAAACTTCATCAGGTGGACCTCCCCTGGAGATCCTCAGGGCCTGGCATCTAGGCGGGGAGCCTGTTCATCACAGGCATCTGAGAGTAGGTGCGGGTAGGCACCTGTCTCTTATCTCTTGGGGCCTCCAAATGTTTTGTCATAAATCAGCGAGTGAGATACAAGACACCTTAATGAGCCAATTAATTAGGAGTTGTTTATTGTGTGTGGCCCAGAGGGAGGTGTCTTTTCCAAATCTCTGAGCACCACATATGGGAAGTTTCCTGTATTTATACTCTTCCAACTTCTTTGTTTGTAGATATTACAAAGAGCTCGGTGTGAGTTATTGTTACACAGTTTGTGATCTTGAATACATAAAGAGCAAACATTTGGCATAAGAATATGGGAATTATTATCGGTATTAGTCCATTTTATTAGATGGCTAGCTTGCAAGGTCAGACAGTTAAGTGTATCTTTTTCTATTATATTCAAACTAAAAATCATTTTACAGAATAAGAGATGTCTTAAAGTGACAGAGTGTATAGGACAAGGGACTATCTAACAATAGCAGAGGATTTGAAACAGCAGTTTTATACAAGATGGAGCTTACTGTGTATCAGTATAATTCTGAAACTTTTCTTTTTCTAGATTATATTTAGTTATTCTTTGACATTTGACATTTCCACATAAATTTTAGAATTAGCTTGTCAATTTCCACACATGCACAAAACCTTGGATTTGTATTGGAATTACAAGGGGAATTTTTGTGTGGAAAGGTTGTAAATTATTATTTAATTTCTTTAATGAATATGGCCCTTTTCAAATTTTCTATTTATTGTCGATTTTAGTAAGTTGTCTTTTTCTTTAAGTTGTTAATGTATTCGTTTCATCTAAAATTTGGAATACTGGCATAACATTATTCACAATAGTATCCAGATTTTTTCTTTTTGGAGATTTGTTTTTTTAACTTACTAAGGCGTTTGAGTGGGGAAATAATTAAGTGAAATTCATGATGTTTAACTTTTTTATGGCAGTGTGGGGGTGGGAAGTAGTTGGGAGTGAGGTTCCCTGACATTAGGAAAGGAAGATAAACGTGTGCAGCTTCAGAAAACCCTCCGTGTTCTGGTTCACAGGTTGTACTGGCCCCACTTCTCAGCTTTTCTGACCCACAAGCCTCTTGTCAAGTTCCCTGGTGCTCCAGTGTTATTTGCACTTCACTTTATTTATTAATGACTTGATTGGCTTCATTAAAAATGGACACATTTTTCATCTTATTTACTGAATGAGTGACTGAATCTGAGCGGGGGAAGCTAAGTGGTTGTGTATGACCCCAAATCATGAAGACTGAAGTGGAAATTGGATTTTGTGCTGCGTGAACAGAAGTTCTTCATTGCCATTTCGACTCCCCTGGGAACTCCTAATTTTCTCTTAAGCACTTAGGATGAAGCATTATTATATGATTAAATAATACTGATTTGAGAAGAAATTTTGTTGGAAGTTATATTTAATTCTTGGTATTTTTAGGGTTGATATTATAGTTTGGTCTAGATTTGATCAGCACTAGTTCACAATGGAGATGATTGAGTAAAAACAAAAATATACTAATATTTTTGTTTTTATTTATAATAAGGACTAATTATTTCTTATAGACTTACGGTCCTAGCTTTCGGGATCTGACTTCTCTCTCCGTTCTGACTTCTCAGTCACGGGCCCTTCTGCTGGGAAGCCCGGCATGTTTTAGGCTGGCAGCCTGCCCCTGCCTCCCCTCACACAGAGCCAAGGGCATTGCCATTCTTCCAAACAGCATATACCTTTGGGAAGCAGGGGTCAAAGAATTCGGCATGATGTATTTTAATTTTTTATCTAGGCCTCTGGGGAGTAAGCAAAATAAGTCACCCTAGGTCACTGAGATTCTAGTAGGACTTAATTTTAATTGAGGTCTTGGCCTGCAGCATCTCATCCCGTGGTGGGCATGGTGAACCCACTGGCAAGCGCCTCGTGTTGCTGCTTGTTACAGAAGTGCCCTGAAGTAGCTGTTGTGAGACACCAGTTTTTATTTCCCATCTCTGTGAACTGATACTTTCTTAAAATCCAATAAAAATGAACTTTGAGAATGAAATGTAAAAGGCCCTACAAATAGTTCAGAGTTTTTATTATTAGGTTCAACAGTCATAAAATTATTTTGTTAAATTACTGTAAATTGGCCGGGACCTGTTTGGCTCAATGAATAGAGCGTCGGCTTGGGGACTGAAGGGTCCCGGGTTCGATTCCGGTCAAGGGCATGTACCTTGGCTGCGGGCATATCCCCAGTAGGGGGTGTGCAAGAGGCAGCTGATCGATGACTCTCTCTCATCGATGTTTCTAACACTCTATCTCTCTCCCTTCCTCTCTGTATAAAAAAAAAAATCAATAAAAAAATTACTGTAAATTGTAAAAATCCTTACTCTTAATTTCTGTAGTTACTTTGTGGCTAGCCAGGACCACATCATTCACCATGGGCCTCACTCAGGAATTCTGCCCCAGACCTGCCTCTTGTTGCAGACCATGAACTTTCAAAGTAGAAGTGTTTCCCTGAGGACTCTGGTTATGATTATAGTTATGGTAAATTTATCATAACCATGACCATGACCATGACCAAAAGATGAGTTTGTTTTTTTTCGTTCTTTCCACGATTAGAATTGAACTTCTTCTTTTTTTTTAAAAAAAATATGTTTTATTGATTTTTTACAGAGAGGATGAGAGAGAGATAGTTAGAAACATCTATGAGAGAGAATCATCGATCAGCTGCCTCTTGCACACCTCCTACTGGGGATGTGCCCGCAACCAAGGTACATGCCCTTGATTGGAATCGAACCCGGGACTCTTCAGTCCGCAGGCCGACGCTCTGTCCACTGAGCCAAACTAGTTTCGGCAGAATTGAACTTCTATGACTACATTAGTGTCAGTAAAATTTGATTTGGCTTCGAAGGTGAAATGCTTAAATCAGTGTGGTGAGGATTTAAAATTTCATTTGCTAGTGGATATTGTGATTTATTTTTACTTGTTAAATAATGAACAAGTATAGTATTTTTGTTAGTTATTTTTTAAATATTGTTTAATTTTTTTTCTAATCTAAATGATGTTTTATGTTGTTTATTTTTCAGGAATTACCCAACTCTGTCTTCCTGGTGATGGAGGTAGGTAGTATCCAAGTTTCTGCTTAATTTATTTCAATTCCTTTTGATTAATATGCACTTTAAAATTGAGAGTATAATTATTTGAAATTTTGAATTAATAAAGTTGATTCCGTGATTTAGATCTCACTTTATAAGGAAAATAGTCTTAAATTTTTTTATTCTAAGGTTTTTCAGACTAACATATACAAATGAATTTTTAATTAAAATTGACTGATAACGGATTGAATTAATCTTGAACTGGTATCCTTATTTTAATTACTCTTTCTTTTATGTATCAGTATTGCAATGGTGGAGACCTGGCAGATTATTTGCAAGGTAATTTTTGTGTATGTCAGTGTTCAGTAAAGATGCACTCTAATCTGTTTAATTCTGAGTTACTTCTGAAATGCAATCTCTGCTTTCTGCACTCATATATATTATAGAAATATTCAATAAATATTTGTGTATTACTTAACACATTGTGGGCGGATCACAAGAATTCTCCCTTCATATTACAGTGTTTTACAAAGTGTCATACTTTAAAAAGATATTAGGTTGTAAGAACATGTAATAAATAACTTCAAAACGCCATGGGTATTTACAGACAGTCCTTGGGTTACGGTGGACTCCATGTGAGTCGTTTCATGGTTACGTCTCCATCTCCCATTTATTTATTTAAAAAAAAAAAAAGTTCCATCATTTCGATGTATGTACACGTATGCTTTATGTTTTTTATTATTTATTTACCACAGGTAAAGGTCAGGAATTATCTTTCTTTAAATTTTTTTTACTGTTTCACTTCATTCCTGCTTTGTGTGTGCTCCATGTGATGACGTGGGTGCTTATGTGGGTGGATTCCGACTCACGGTGAAAATTGCTGTACATCACCTGAAGGAGCGGATCTGCGACGTGACCCAAGGACCTACTCTGATTTTAAAGCGTGCCTTTAACATTTATGTAAAACATTTTTTGTACTTGTTCAGCAGAAATATATCTGACCACTGGGCAAAGCCAGCAATGAAACTACTGGTCCACAGTGTGTTTATTACAGTCACTTTGCTGGCTAACATGTCTGTTCTCACGCTACGCTCGGGTATCGCTGCTTCCTTTGTGTATGCCTCCCTTCCCGTGTTGGAGAGGCAGGTCCTCTTCCCCAGAGAGAAAGAAATCACATGGATTTCTCTTCTTCCGGGGTTGCCATCAGTGAACCTTGCGCCCTTGGCGTTTCTTTCATAATGAAAATAAAATTGTAATGGGAGAATGAATCCAAGTATATGTTGATTAATGTGAATGTTTTATGTAAATTAAAAATGTTATAAGGGATTAAAAGTAACATTGACAATATTTTGTGGCACAGAGTAAGATTTTAGTATTAGATCGTTTTTGAAATTATGTGTCCAAAATGTGTACATATAGGATAAGCATTCAGGTCAAATTGAGTTTCTCAAAAGTATTTTTTTCTTTTAAAAAAATTTTATTTATTTTTTAAAATGTTTTTATTATATTAAGGTATTATATGTGTACATATCTTACCATTGCCTCTCAAAAATATTTTTTTAAAAAATATTTTTATTGATTTAGAGAGAAAGAGAAAGGGAGAGATAGAAACATCAGTGATGAGAGAGAATCATTGATTGCCTGCTCTTGCATGCCCTCCACTGGGGTTCGAGCCCACAACCCCCCCCCCCCCCCCCCCCGACCAGGAATAAAACTGTAACCTTCTGGTTCATAGGTCGATGCTCAACCACTTGAGACACACTGACTGTGCAAAGTTTTTTTTGTTTTTTTTTTAATATATTTTATTGATTTTTTACAGAGAGGAAGGGAGAGAGATAGAGAGCTAGAAACGTCGATGAGAGAGAAACATCGACCAGCTGCCTCTTGCACACCCCCTACCGGGGATGTGCCCGCAACCAATGTACATGCCCTTGCCCGGAATCGAACCTGGGACCATTCAGTCCGCAGACCGACGCTCTACCACTGAGCCAAACCGGCCCCGGCTGACTGTGCAGTTTTTTTTGTTGTTTTTTTTTAAATGATATTAATGGAGGTAAGCAACTACTTGATTACCCCTTAGAGATGCAAGAGAAATATGCAAAAATATTGTGAAAAACTCACAATTCAACCCATAAATTTAGGTGCTAGTATTGGTGTAGCAGGCTTAAGTTAGCTTCGACAGCGCTGTGTCTGTGATATGAACTCTGTGTTTGATGTTGCAGAGCCATAGTGTTAGGAGGAGATTGGAGCCTGAAGAGTTTACTTGTCATGGTTTGCAGCACGCTCCCTGTTCACATTACTTGTTGTGTCTGATGTTAGTCAGTCATTTAACCTCTCCCTGCCCTGTTTGCGCCAGTTCTAGGTACTTCCGCCATAATCAGCTTTTCTATAGACATCTTTGCGAGCATTTTCCCACAAACCTTTTTTCCAAATAAATAATTGCCTCTAGACAATTTTGCAATGAAAAAAGGTAAACTCATGGCAAATAAAAGGTACCTTTAAGAGCTTATAATGAAACATGAAAAAAAATGAATGAAAAAATAAAAATCCTATTGTGAAATATGAAATAAATGCATTTAAAATGTGTGTAGATTCATGGCAATACTGTGTAAATAATGATTTTATCTTGTGGATTGTAACAAGCACTTGTCTTTATTCTGTGGGAAACGTGGGCCCAACCATATTCCCCCAAAGAAGGCTCGCACCTTACTATGACTGACTTATTTCACTTAGCATGATACTCTGACTCCCAGTGTACTGTATTTTAAAATAAGAAACTGACTGTTGGAGCAAATCATCATCTGAAAGAAATGCTAATATTTTAAGACCCTTCCACATCTACTTAGTACTCTATAGGTCATTATGAGGGCTGGCTGTGGTTTATATATAATACGAAAATGGGAGTAATAGCAAGAATTTCATCAATAGAGCAATAAAACCAAACAGTAACAACAACAAAAAAAACCCAAACTTTCAACCGGTTATTTTACCTTTTTTACAGCAAAATTGCCTTATAGCCAGTTAGTTTTGCAGCCAAAATGCTTGTGACAAATATATACTGCAAAGACCTATAGCCGAAAATACCTGCCACAGTCTTTGTCGTTCAAAACACTTGAAAGACTTATAGCCCGGCCAGTGTGGCTCCATGGTTGAACATTGACCCATGAACCAGGAGGTCATGGTTTGATTCATGGTCAGGACACATGCCCAGGTTTCCTCCAGGTTTCCAGCTCAATCCCTGGTAGGGGGCATGCAGGAGGCAGCCAATCAATGATTTTCTCTCATCATTGATGTTTCTGTCTCTCCCTTTTCTCTTCCTCTCTGTAAAATCAATTACAAACATTTTTTTAAAAAGAAAAGACATAATATAAATTTTGTTCTAAAAAAAATTGTCTAGCCCGTGATTCTAGGGCTCCTCCCTGGTCCAGACCCTGATCTGGGCTTGTGCAGGGGGCAGCCAATCGATGTCTCTCTTACATCAATGTTTCTGTCTGTCTTTCCCTCTCCTAATCTCCCTAAAAATCAATGGAAAAATACCCTCAGGTGAGGATTAACAATAAAAGAAAGAAAGAAAGAAAGAAAGAAAGAAAGAAAGAAAGAAAGAAAGAAAGAAAGAAAGAAAGAAAGAAAGAAAGAAAGAAAGAAAGAAAGAAAGAAAGAAAGAGGGAGGGAGGGAGGGAGGGAGGGAGGGAGGGAGGGAGGGAGGGAGGGAGGGAGGGAGGGAGGGAGGGAGGGAGGATAGAAATAATTAAAACATTGCCTAGACTGATACTGTTCATTATGGTAGCCACATGGGGCTGTCAAGCTCTTGAAACATGCCCAGTCTGAGTTGAGATGTGCTATATAAATGTATACAATTGATAAATATTTTTACAGAGTAATTTTCTTGTAAGTCTAGTGTCCACCTGGCATCACACATAGTCATTTACAGTAGTATTGACTACATTCTCTATGATGTGCTTTATATCCCCATGACTGTTTTGTAGCTGCCCATTCATACTTTGTCATTATTCACATCTTTCAGTCCCCCAACCCCTCCCCTCTGGCAACCCTCAGTTTGTTACTGTATCTATGAAGTTTGTTTGTTTATTTTGTTTTTTAGATTCCACATATAAGTGAAGTAATATGGTTTTTGTTTTTCTCTGTTTGACTTACTTTATTTGGCATAATACCCTCTAGGTCCATCCATGTTGTTGTAAGTGGTAAGATTTTGTTCTTTTTTATGGCCAAGTTATATTCCATCATATATACACCATTTTTTAAAAATATATATTTTATTGATTTTTTACAGAGAGGAAGAGAGAAGGATAGAGAGTCAGAAACATTGATGAGAGAAACATCGATCAGCTGCCTCTTGCACATATCCCCACTGGGGATGTGCCCGCAACCAAGGTACATGCCCTTGACTGGAATCGAACCTGGGACCCTTCAGTCCGCAGGCTGATGCTCTATCCACTGAGCCAAACTGGTTTCCGTTGTATCACCGATTTTTTATCCAGTCATCTATTGATGACCACTAGATTGTTTTCATATATTGGCTATTGTAAATAACCCTACTACAAACACGGGTACATACTATCTTTTCAAATTAATGTTTTGGATTTCTACAGAAAAATACCCAAAAATGGAATTGCGAGAAACTTTCATACTGTTTTCCATAGTGATTGCACCAATCTTTCTTTCCACCAACAGTGCATGCACAAAAATTCCTTTTTGTCCACATCCTCGACAATATTTATTGTTTGTTGATTTATTGATGATAGCCATTCTGACAGAAATGAGGCAATAACGCATTCTGAATTAATTTGTATTTTTCTTTTTAAAAATATTTTTTATTGATTTCAGATAGGAAGGAAGAGAGAGAGAGAGAGATGGAAACATCAGTGATGAGAGAGAATCATTGATTGGCTGCCACCTGCATGTTCCACACTGAGGATTGTGCCCTGACAGGGAATCGAACTGTAACCTCAACCACAGATTTATAGGTCAACGACACTCAACCACTGAGCCATGCCTGACTGGGCATTAATTTGTATTTTTCTGATGATTAGTGAAGTTAAGCATCTTTTCATATGTGTGTTAGCCATCTTTTCATATTCTAATTGGATTTTTTATGTGTGTGTGTTAAATTGTAAGAGTTTCTTATCTGTTTGGGATATTAATCCCTTACTGGATATATTATTGGTGAGTATTTCTCCCAATTAGTATGTTGTTTTTTAGTTTTGTTAATGGTTTTATAAAAACACTTAAAAAAAACTTTATTGTTGAAAGTATGAAATATGTCTCCTTTCCTCCCATTAAACTCCTCCAGCCTGCCCATGCTATCTGCCTCCCAGGCT